ATATCCTGTATCATTTTGTTGACCTTGATGATGTGTGTCATCATATCATCTTTAGCGTCCCATCGATAAAGAGCTAGCTTGACTCTTAGGTTTTCAAGCTTCTCCTTTTGAGCTGCCGTTCTGGGGATTATCGGAGTGCATCTCAAATGTACCATTGTTCCTGCAACGAATGCAGAACGAAGGATTACTTATAATCCATGATACATTAAGATAAGGAATGCTTATTCATATACATATGATCTAGCACTTGTATTTCAAAAAAAACTATAGAGAAATACTAGAGAAAATGCTAAAGAATATACCCCTAAGTATGTGTACATAGGGTTTATCGTGCATTTTCACATTCATAAGTGCAGAAAAACTGTAATATGAATACACCATAACGTAGAACATTCCGATACGAGCACGTCGATACCAAGAACGCCCAAATCGGAGTTCAAATGAGCTCGAACGGGCCGAAAGAAATAACTTGGTCATTCTGCCGGTTTGAACCGGTCCGGTCCGACCGGTTTGACCGTTCCGACCGTTGACCGGTCAACGGTCAACCGGTTTGGTCAACGGGGCCGGGTCAACGGGTCGGGCCAACGGTCAACGGGTCGGGTCAACGGTCAACGGGTCGGGTCAACGGTCAACGGGTCGGGTCAACCAGGTCAACAGGGTCGGGTCACCGGTCAACCGGGTCGGGGTCTCGGGTCGGGTCATGGTCCGCTTCTGATGACGTCACGATGACGTCATCATCGGCGGTTAGCGGCGACCGACGCGCCCTTTCGCACGGCCGCGCGTGGTACGCACGCGCCGTCGCGCGCACGGTCCTTGCCGGCGCGTGAGGGCGCGTGCGGCGTCCTCCGGCGACGTGCCGCCCATCATTTTGCTCGTCTCGACGAGCCCTTTCTGTTTATACAATAAAATTTAAGTTTTGACGAAAAAAAAAAATCGAAACATGTATGAACAGTTCGGTGACGCGACGAAAACGAACCAAAAAACAAGGCCGAAACGAAAAAACAAGCAGTATACACTTCAGACGATACATATGCATGTTCGGGAAACAAGTAAACGGGCTCTGATACCAATGTTGGGAAAACTCAATTCCCGATCGTCGTGTTCGAAACATATTCGGAACGAATTCGATCAATGCGGAAAACGTGCCCAAGGATCATCAACTTGTATCACCGATCGTACAGGCATATCACACAACGAACATACCCGGTATTGTCACAGATTAAGTGCCACTTTGCGCTTGAGAGTTCTACGATCGTCTTTCGTACTCACGTGCGTTCCGAAGCAAAAACAGAGAATACGTTGTGTCGAAGGAGTGTGTTTGCACATATAAAAAATCACTTCTGTTTTCCAAGGGGTGCCTTCTATTATAGATAGGCAAATAACTACCTCGTGGGCCCTTGTGGCTCACGGGCCGGGTTTGGCCCATCTTGGGCGGTCCACCCAATATGTCTTACAATAATGATAATAACGAAGAGGGAAGAATTCATCTATTTCTCCCGGGCGCGTCTGTGAGGAATGAAGATGACCGACCCCATTTTCTTATGAACGACCGAGGAAGGCTTCTAGAATGGGTTGGAGACAAATTTCATGCACACTGATGGTTATAACAGAAAAAGGGAATTGGTTATCTCGGCCGCAAGGAGGGGCTGATCGTAGTGCCAGATGCAGAGAAGAAGGGAAGATCAGTTGGGATCGATCGGAAGAAAGAAAAACTGAAGTTCTCGGATCGGAGGGGGCTAGAGGTACACACATTCGACTACGAAAATTCTGGGAAGCTCTCTGGGATTCTCGTTTTCGTTTTTAACTCACTGAGGAGAGTCGGCCGGAAGTTGCCATTCGTTTCAGATCGCCAGCCACTGCCGCATCACCGGGGGAGACATCAGCCACAGCTTTTCGTGATCAGGAGGAAGGATTGAACGGTGATTTCCGGCGTCTCCGTCTTCGTCAACCCTGATTCCGACGACTTCTTCTCGCCGCATGAACCAGGTAAAACCTCTCTCTTTTGTACTCTGTTTTGCTCTGTTTTCTTATGGAAAGGCAGCCTAGAGTCCAATTCTCTGAATAGGATCAAACTGAGATGAAACCGACTATATATGAGAGACTTTTTCTCCGATTTAGAGTGTCATATGTTCATCTAGTTTGAGTTCAATCGCATGCTATTTCTGTCAGAATTTAAATTCACGATATTCTAATTAGGGAATGAATTTAATCATACGAGTCAAACAATGTTCAAATGCAAATCTAATTAACGAATGAATCCGTGATTCTCATGCTAATTCAACCCAAAAAGTCTTTTCAACCATTGCGGTTCAAGATTTCCCGGCTAAAGTATTGCTTCAATGTGGAAATCCCAATTTTGAAAGATTGACTGAGTCGGTTTCATCGAATTAAATTTCATTTTTTTTCCTTTAAAATATGTAATAAAAGTATTTATATACACGGGGCCTCGCTTCACGGATTGACGACTCTCAAGGTCTCCGGTTCTCTAGTCAATTTGAATTGATCTCCTCTATATCTATGGAGATGGGTTCAGCTTTATTTAATAGGGTTTCTAAATAATTACATATAATATTCAACAGAATGACGATCTATTTTATTTTCTATAAAAAATATACATTTATTTCAATATCATAACAACGTTTTTTCTAATTTGGGGATCTATTTTTAAAGCGTGTCTCCTTCAACATGCAATTTTTGAGAGAGAGAACCTTGCCCATGAAAGGCAAGAAAAACAGCAAAGACAAGAGAGACTCCAAATAAGAAAGATTTTCAATTCAAATGAGCTAAAATTTCAAGTATGAGAGCTTACAGAGAACTTACCATGCTTGGAAATTATCAGATTGAAGCTTATTTATTGGAAAATGAAATGATTCATAGTGGGAAATGAGGTGAAGGGTATCCAAAATGTTGGACAAGGCCGGAAAAATGATGTGCAAGATTTTAGGTACACGAAACCGGGCCACAATGACCACCCCGCCCTCAAACACATTAATGGAGAATTCCTTAGAGCCCGTTTGATATATCTGTGGTGGAATTGTAATTATGCTATGAAATGATGTAACACGTGTTTTAAAGTTCTCTCTAAAGAGAGAGAGAGGAAGGAAGATTGCCCTCTGGTCCATTTAAACTTGTATATTTTGGCCTCTCCTTATAATTTACGAGCAATTGTTACTCAAAATACCGTATAAAGATCTCAACAGAAAATTCTCTAGAGAGAGATGTACTTAGAAACCGAGAGTTTCGCTGCCATTTTCGACCGCCCGTTGGTCATTTGTGGCCTTCCAACCATTCCCCGCATTATGGATCTCGCTCCCGATGTCATCGATCCTCACCTTCGACTTGTTCATGCTCTAAGGAGCAATTGGGGCCTGTACGCTTGAGTGAAGTGTCTTCTTGTCGGTCGACAGGGGGAAGATCGGTGCTACTCAGTCTGAAAGGTGCTCCAAGGAGGACAGTGATTTGAGGGGATGGGTGGTGGCGGTGGCAGTGGCTGGGGTCTTGGCTCGGCTTAGACCCGATGTCTTATGAGATCCGTTGACGTTGGCTTACTGACATCAAAATCCATTCAAGCTGTGCATGCTATAGCTTTCTTTTCATTTTGTGTATAGATTTAGTGTATGTTCGAAATCATCTTCGGATTGATCGTAAACTGACTTCATCATTTTGAATAGCAAAGCCACAAAGAACTCCTCAGCTTCTTTTCGACATGATCTCTCCCAACATCTTCCGATGGTTAATTTTCATTGGACGGACATATTAGTCCACATGTTCTCCAAAGATTATTCAAAAGATAGCTGGTGTACCAGTAATATTTGGGAAGCCACTTCGTTGACTGCGGGTTTTGCCGAAACTAGGCAACTTCCCTTAGCGCCTTCCATGAACGAATCTCTCATCTCATTCCACGTGCTACAAGTTCGACCATTGTCCTCTACGTCGTCTAGCACGAGGAAAAATTTCTTAGCATTAACTATCGCAAATGGGTTTGCAATTGCTCAAAGTCCAAGTTATCCGATAGTGACTGAAACTCTAATCAAACCTTGACCGATAGTGTCTCTCGAGACTTTTGCAAGAATTTTCTTTTGATCAAAATCATTGGAAATGCATACCCATATTCGGAAATCAAAAACTGGTTCGTGGATCTTTTCGTCGTTGTACACGAGCTTAGCAAGCACTGTTTTGTCTAAACATCCCGTCCTAATTATTATGGTAGGGCATGCAATCCGAATCGGCTCAGCACACTCTCTATGATGTTAAGAAGGACCAATTTGGCCATTTTCTTTTCTTGCCATTGGAAAAACAGTAGGGGGTATCCAGAGAGCTTCATGAACTGCAAACAATGAATGCCAATCGTCCCTCGTCTTTGGCTAAAGATCATAATGGCTATACTAAAAACCATTCCAACTAAATGGATCATTCTGCTTTATAAGCAATGGACCGAACATTACGGTTTTAATACGGTACGACTCGACCATTGATTCTTCTAGGACATGGCTTTATGGTTATCTTTCTGTTTTCTCATGTCATGGTGAAAACCAATTTGAGCTTCCCAATGATGCCGATTTGGCCGAATCTACGGACCGAGCCCCCTCAACCTCAGTCTCGTCTTCAGGATGTCCCATTTGGGCAGTTCTGTGCACTCTAGTTTAGTCATGAAAGCAACCGAGGAGGTGCTATACTTTATGAGGAACCATAGCATACACAATCATGAGTTCAAACAAATATATGTGAGGTATTAAAATTGATAAAGGCTCTGAGCATAAAACAAAGATGTTATTGTCCATGCAATTAGCCTTCGTGCATTTATTTTCATAAGATTCAGTCCCAGGAACAAAAGGAAAAGAAAAACGTAATCTTCCTATGTGGAAGAGAAGTAAAACAGAATAAAAGCGAAAAAAATATATGATTTTTTAAATGCATCATGTCTCGGAAACTCTTTAAATAATCTGGTGAAATAATCATAAAATGATCAAGCAACTAGCACTAATATACCATAAATAAGATTTGATGGTGCGGCGTGATTTCATTAGCTATCCATGAATGAAAGATATATATCGCTCTAAGGATATTCAAACAAAGATAATGCTACAGTTGGTCTCATACAACACGAATACGGCGTTCTCTCCATAGAGAAATTTGCAATACAAACACAAATATGGGATGAAGAACTACACTTATTCAAGGAGCGAAAGAAAAAGGTACAATATCAACGGCCATTCTTTTCATCCCTTAAAATGAAAGAGATTGAGAGAGTAGTAGCTGAGTGCACGTCCAAATGTTTGCGGAGACCCTCATGGCGTGGCAAATAGATTTGGGAGTTCATCTGCGGTCAAAAGGGAAAAATAAAAGAAATGAGCTTAGAGTATTTATAACATAATATTCTGGCACTGATTGCAATGTCATGCGGACTAGTCATTCTTAGATTTCCTACTACGCAAATATTTTTCAGTCATTAGCAAAATTAATTTTTACATGGTTGTAAATTCCTTTGAATAGAAGCTGGTGTGGAAGGTTTCGCTTGTATAAAAACGTGTGGAAATTTTGGTTCTCATAAGTTTTCCTCAAAATTTCTGCTAAAACAAAATATCATGACTGCAGAGGTACATGTGTCCAATTGATTTACTATTGATAGGTTACATCGAAATGGAGGGTCCATATATAACCTCTATCTAATTCATTTGATGTACACAATTTGACTTTTTGTTAATTCGAAATATATGAAACTTTCACAACATGTAAATATTAGCAAGCAGATTTATATATAGATATATTTATTTTCTTAAAGTTGAATAGCATTTTAAATTTTAGCGAGAAAACAAAAAACAGAAAAAACCTTTTACTTTTGCTTAATTGGGAATAAACAAGCCCTGTAACTGTTGAGTTGACGACCTATGTATTACTATCCTACGTCACTAGCTGGCAGACCCATGCTTCGCTCGGGCCATTTTTCACGACAAATTAATTTTTTTACAAATATTCAAGCCAGTGAGAAAAGGGCATCTTATTTTGTAGAAATATTCTTAGCCACTTACATTTCCTCTTTTGCCATTTATGTTATACCTTAACAAATAACGTGCGAGGGTGAATCGATACATAGAAAAGTTCCAAAGGTGGCCCAGCAATTTTGGGATTTAGCTTTATGCTTTTTTGTCATATAAAGTACTATAAAAAAAAATTGAAAACAGTCTAGTTATAAGAAGTTGGACCACATCACCATAAAGAATCGTGAGCATTAGACATGTGCTACTATATTGATTTAAAAAAAATTAATTGAAGACATTTCGATAGTTTTTTTAATAAGATCGAGAAAATTATTTATTCTCAAATGGGAAAGTTAAATTAAAAGTGAATAGATTTCCCTATGCATTAACTTTTCGTGCATATCAAGTTATAATAACCGTCGATTTACTGGATAAATTATCTTTATTTGCGGATGTCTTTATTAAGTGTCTTGCCAATAAAGATTATCCCATATTTTTCAAAATACATTATTTTGAGCAGCAATCTTCTCATGCTCTGCACGGAACTGGATTCACGGCATATAAATGTTGTTTTTCGTTTTATTGTTTGAGTTAAAAGTTTTAGATAGTGTTACGAATTGAGTATGTAGTTTTAAGTATAAATCCAATGTTAAATGCAAACTTCAATGTTTTGATTAAATAGTAACTCAACTGAAGATGTACTGCTCGTTTCTTTGAGTTTAAGATATTATTTTTTTAATAAATTTGATTTGGTTAATTATTTTAAATATAACTATCTAATATTTAATTCCTTTTGCGATGTAATGACCTATTGTTGATTGTATCTTAGTAAATATTTTTTTTTCCATATCATTTTTTCTTTTTCTAAGCAGTACTTTAATTAAATTTCAATTCAATTGAAGAAATAAGTGAATCTCAATATATGGGCATGTTACATGTAAGAACAGAGAAGAAATAGATAGATCCGTACCTAATCCTCCGTCCATTGTACCTTTACACCATCAAGTTCAATTTGAGGAATGTGAGCGATTTTGGGCCAATCCTCGCCAGTTGTTGGTCGACATCTCTCGCTCAGTTCACCACAATCATCGATGCATAATTTTTTGAGGGCAGCAAGGGACTGGATTTCTTGCGGCATAGACAATAAATTGGGACATTTGATCAAGTTAAGAAATTTTAGACATGGATGATTGGGCAGCCATTCGGGTACAGCCACGAAGCTCAAGCATTTCCCGACAGTGAAGGACTCCAAAGTATGAGAAGATTCGTTAAAACATTGAAGCAGCTCCATCACCTGTTCGAACTGTACTATTGACAGCGCACGAAGATTAGAAGGAAAGTTGGACTTGTTCTCCTTGGTCAACACGAGCTTGCAATTTTGAATTTCCAAGACCTCTAGGGCGATTAGTTCCCCAAAAGGCAGAGATATTGGTCTCCCACAATCTAAAATTATCAACCGTCGAAGGCGAGTTAGTCGGCAAGCACCTTCAAACAAAACTTCGAGATTTTGGCATCCTTCGAGTGCCAAAAATTGCAGATTTTCCAGGTACTGTATTCCGCTTTTTTGCAGACTCTTCTGCTTTGTTGTTATGGATAGAAATCTAAGGCTGACAAGCCTCTTCATATTTTTGGGTAGATCGCCTAGCTCTGAGCAACCATTGAGGGACAAGTGTTGTAAACTCTGCAGCTCACAAATGGTATCTGGAAGCTTCTTCAATCGCTTGTTGTCAGAGAGAAATAACGTCCTCAAGTGCTTCACGTTGCATATGGAACTCGGCAGCTCCTCAAAACTACCATCCACCAAATCCAAATACCGTAAGTGGTTACACTTGGAGATGCATGCTCTAACAAACTCTCTAGTTATAACTTCATCATCAACGGCAAAGGGAAATATTATTGTACGCAGCCTCTTTGAAGTTGGCTTTCTTAGAAAAGGTGGAACTCCATTGAAATTTGAGATTCCCTCTAATGAAGTGCTAGAGAATGAAACATGCCGAACTCCTTCTGAAATTTCTGTAGTATCTAAGCCAACACTAGAGCAATCATGTTGTGCCACAATCGTTGCAAGAGAATGGACTAGATCGTGCACTTTAAAAGATAACATCAAGTCAAACTCTTCAACTTCTTGGATCAAAGATCTCTTCCACAACTCGTTGAGATACTCAATACCAACGTCTTCCAATGATTGTTCTTCCCCTGTTAAACTAATGAGTCCTAAACCCTTCCATAACCAAGCTAACTCATGGCCATTGATTTCACGTGCTTTGTCAAAAAGAGATAATGTGGCAAAACATCGTTTTAAGTGGGACGGTAAATGATCATAGCTAAGCTTAAGTACCGGAAGAATGTCATTTTTTTCTGCCACTAACTTCCATGTCTCGCTATCTCTTATATGTGCCCAATACCGTACTTCGTCCTTTGTGTAAACTAGACTCCCCAAAGTTTTCAAAAGGAGAGGAACTCCTTGACATTTAATGACAATGTCATTTCCAATGTCAAGGAGATCAAGACGTGGTTGCTTTTCCTTTTGATCGAACGCCCATTTTTTGAACAAGGCCACGGAGTCTTCATGAGAAAGACCTTTTAGATTATGTGTTGGATGGGTACCCATTATAAAAGCGACTTTTGAATTGCGCGTTGTCACAATTATCTTGCTTCCGCTAGCTCCTTCGATCAGCAAAGCTTTCAATTCTTCCCACCTACTACGATCATCGCTCCATACGTCATCCAAGACTAGCAGAAATTTCTTGTCTTTGATGGTGTTTCGCAGAAAGGTTTGTGATTGCTGAATATCAAGGTTACTCAAGCTTTGACCAATTGCATCTTTGATGATACCGTCAATAGTTTTTTTCAAATTAAAGTCCTCAGGTACACACACCCATAGTCGCAACTCGAATTGTTCTTTCACACCGTCGTCATTGTAAACTAATTTAGCTAGGGTCGTCTTACCCAAACCCCCTATTCCAACAATAGGAATTACCGAGAGATTTTTGTCATCTGGCTGCTTCAATATCTCAATTATCTTTTGTTTATCAATATCTCTTCCGATGACATCCAACTTGTTTATGAACGAATAAGTCATCTCTCGTGATCGCAAAGGCGCCACTCCACTGTCAGTACTCCGCACATTAAGATTGAATTGATCCTTTTCGATGGAAATTTTAGATAATGTCTCCCTAATCTCCTTGATCCTATAACTGATTTTCGCACGGAGTATTACCGGATTAGAGAGGGAAAAGAAGCGGTGTACCTTCTCTGAGACGCCCCCGTATCGACTGATTACCCGCTTTCGTAAGGCTTCACACTCGAGTTCATCGAGCACATCCTCCGCATCGCACAACACGTCTCGAAGTCGACCTAGCCATTGTTGCAGGCGGTTGTTCTTCGCCTGTTGGTCCTCAGCATCTAACAGCACGGCTGTAATAGCAGCCAACGTATTTTTAAGCTCGCGGATCTGATCTTCGACGCTGTAAATTGCGACAGCTTCTTGGAGCACCGGTGATGCTATCTTCCCTAGCACACCCTGTGCGATGCTGAAAAGGAGTGATTCAGCCATGCTAAGTTATGGGGAAATTGATTTCAGGCTATTTGGTTTTGAGACGAATAGAAGAGCACACAATGTCTTCCTTTTGTGAGTTAGCTGCTATGACGACGACTTCCTTACAGTTGGATGAAAGGAAGGTTCCTTCCTTACGAGCGGCCGGCAAGTCAACAGAAACGCGCTTTCTACCTTCCCTTTATCTTACCTAACCAGGAATGAAGACTTTCGGTTCCACCGATCAGATAGCTACCGTTCTGTCTTTTCCTTGAAAGAGTCGTCCCAAATAATTTGAGGAGAAAAAGGACGGGCTACCCAGATTCACCAAGAAACGCGATAAACTGATACTAATTCTAAATTAAATTAACAACTAAATAGCATGCACAGTTTAGTGATAATTCGACGCACCTTTGCTGGAATATTTTCATGAATTAGATCACCGGCCATTACAAAATCAAATATAAGTATCAACTACTGTGCTCTTTTCACGGTATCAAATGAACATGAACATTCCTTAGCAAAAATTTTTATATTTCAGGCTCTATTTGTTTCACGGAACATAAATAATTCGGAAAATAATTTTTTTAAAACCGATCGCTTGTACCGCTCGAAATAATTAGCCAATGAAAAATGCTTTCATGATCGGTAATAATTTATCTGAATATTTTCGAAAATGATGAAAAATATTTTTCGTTCATTTATTTCTATAAATGATATAAGCTATCATTTCTAAAATAATAATTTTTTGAATAATTCATTTGCCGCAAAGCAAACGAAACTTTAGTCACAGATGTTCATGCCAAAAAGCCATTTTGCTTTCTGTTTTGCTATGACAACAAGGAAAAGCATGCGCCAACCAGGAAAGCCCTAATAAGTCATTTTTTATCTCATTAAAATTATGCATGCAACATATTTTATGTATATTGATTTTTCAATCGGCTCATTCACTTATCCTCAAAATAACATTAACTCACAAAATCCGGACTCACACTTCGCCGGAGAACATCGTGGATTTGGAGGATGGAGGGGACGGGTTGATCAAGACTGCGGTGGATTTGCACGGCGGCGAGGAAGAGAATTTGATCTGTATCGACATTTCTCTGGCTAAACAGCATCACAATTGATAGGTTATATTGGGCTTATCCATCAAATTGACATTGAAATTTGAATATGTGAATACGAAGATTTCGGATTCCATTTATTTATTGGGGATGAGAGAGTTATTGAGAGATTGAAATCTGTGAAAAGAGAGGAATCGGGTATTGTATACATCAACGGTCAAAGTGCGCACGTCACCTGATCCAAAGGTCTGAAATTGAGCTTACGTGGAATTATTGAAAATTCATTTTAATGGACAGAATGGTAATGGACAACAAGGACTTTTCACTTAGCAGTGGATAAGAGAGATCACGATAATGCACCGACTCATGAAGACCTGGTTCGCTTTGCCTTGCCCGATAAGCCCTTGCGGGGCCCACCCCGTGTAAAGTTATATCTTCGTCACTTTAAGAATTAAACTACAAAAAATCCTAAATTACGCTCACTACGATACAAATTCCTTAAACTTTTTTTGTGCGTCACTAAAAACTCTAAACTTGCCTGTTATGATACACGTACCCCAAACTTTTTTTAATGTCATAAAAATTCCCAAACTTATACAAAGGGGCAACGTCGGGTATATATTCAGATACCGTAAAAGTTATATAATCCGGTCTTTAATTATTCTTTAATTTTATTATAAGTAAAATTTATTGACGATTGACTTATAGATAAAATTAAAGTTAAAAAAAAACTTTAACCCTTATAAAGGGACAAGTAATTGGATTGATAAAAAAAAATAATAATAACCTCTGATACGTCAAAATAATACCTTTTATCTAAGACATGAGATATATGTAACTATTTGATTATAATTGAATTTTATTACAAGGACATTTAAAGGATAAAAGGAGACTTTAAGCTAATAAATGGACACACAATGAATTGAAAATAGATAAACTTGTTATGTTAAAATGATAGTTCAAGATATAAAATAAACGAAAGTGCAAATTGTTCTGTCAAATAAATGAGAATTACACTTGCAAAAGATGGACAAATGAGTGCCTTACCACCAGGAATCACATCTGTAACCGCCAACTGGGCGCGCGCATTAATGAATTTAAAGATGTTAAAGTGCAAACCTTGATTTTTATTCTACCTTTCGAGATGTTTCGATAATTTTCCTTCATAAGACCAAAGAAATTCCAATGTTGAATCGAACCAAGCAGAACCGAACATCTGATCTCCCTATTCCACCCCACTACAACCATTAGAACTGTTCGTTTTTAATAAGAAAAATTGGAGGAAAACGAAGCATCGGATGGACATAAGTCTATTCATCCAATGAAAACAATGCTTGGCCCACATGGCGACCAATTGAGAAACATCGAACCAATTTATGCCAAAAAAAAAATTGGTACAATCATATTATGTTGTCAAGCTTATTGATAATTGGGTGAACAAATCAATAGCTAGCTTATTCATTTTTCATTATTAATTTGCAATTGGAAATTTATGTCATAAATACATAGTCACCATGTCCATAACCTTACTACTGAATATATTAGTCCAATAAATGTGGGTAGTCCAAAGATGTACAATTGAGTCAAACTTGCATAAGAAAGTCGACACATCTTAATAAATTCATTCTACATTGTTTATCCAATGATCAATTTTTATGCTGCATATCTATCCATCTACATATAGAAAATGTGAAGGATACTGCTTGTCTTCTCTCCGGTGGCAAATTGTAATTTCGCCAATACAGATGTACAATTCTGGGCTTGTCTTGAGGCTTCTGTTCATCACTTGGACCCACAGATACCCCCACTCTCTCTCTCTCTCTCTCCTTTTTAACTTTTGTTTTTTTACGAGTCTATTATATTTTTTTTCATTTAATTCTGTATCAACATAATTATTTCGGGAGTCCTAGTATTGATCCGATACTCGAGCCTTAAACTTTCAAATTGTACAATTAAATCCTAAAAATTGTCGACGTTCTTCACGTTAGTCCTTTCCGTCAAGGAGTCGGAACTCAAACCTTAAGCCGAGTGAAAAATGACTTAAATTATTATTTTATTTTGAAAAACAAAAAGAGAGAGTTGCTCATCCAATTAGAAAGGGAAAAAATTAGCACCAATGATGGCCAATCTATGTAAATGATATATATCTATGGAAGACTCATATATTTTTTATGACCAAAACTTTCTCTTCTTTTTTTTCTTTTTTTTGTGCGTTCTTATCCCACTTTTTTTTCCTTTGACAAGTCATGTCCTTTTCATGCCACATGACAACGTTCTTTGAAAAAGAAAAATCGCACCAAAAATCCGCGTTCGTTAGAGTTCTATCACTCTCTCCTGCGTCCATGACAATCTTGACGTGAAAGGAAGTACGTGAAGCGTTCAAATTTCCGTTCTCCGATTGAGTTTTCGTCGAAGAGCGAGATTTGCAAGTGGCCTCTCTCGCAAGAAACCGATTTTGGGGGCAATTGAGGAGAGGGAGAAGGGAAGGGCATCTGAGGAGGGAGAAAAACTGACGGGGAGTCGTGGAACGAGAGATACTTAATCGAGATCTAAATAGAAAATTCTTTAGAGAGGGACGTGTGTAGACACCGAGAGTTTCTGCCGACGTTTTCGACCGCATATTGATCATTTAGGGCCTTCCAACTTTTCTTGGAAGTGTGTATCTCGCTCCCGATGTCATCGATGGTCGCCTTTGGCTTGTTCATTTGCTAAGGAGCAATCGGGGCACGTACTCTTGAGCGAAGTGTCTTCTCGGCGATGGTTGGGGGGAAGATGGGTGTTACTTAGTCTGAAAGGTGCTCCAAGGAGGACAATGATTCGAGGGGAAGGGTGGCAGTGGTTGGGGTCTTGGCTCGGCTAGACCTGACGTCCTATGAGATCCGTCGACATTGGCTTACTGATATCAAATTCCATTCAAGTTGTGCATGCTATAGCATTCTTTCTTTTCATTTTGTGTGTAGATTTAGTGTGTTTTCGAGATCATCTTCGGATTGATCGTAAGCTGACTTGGTCATTCTGAATGACCAAGCCTCACCGAACTCTTCAGCTTCTTTTCGAAATGTGCTCTGCCAAACTTCTTCCGATGCTCGGTTTTCATTTGACAGACGTATCAGTCCACATGCTCTTCAAAGAATACTCGAAAGATAGCTGGGTGTAGTATTCTTTGGGAAACATGGAACAAAATGTGAAACAACGTTTCATTTGGTGCGGCAAATTGTTGCAACTAAGTTTTGAGTGCGTGAAGGATGTTGTTTCTTTGTACTGATTCCCACACGCTGCTATCGTGTCTTATCGATACCCAGAATTGTTGATTTGGCCCCCAAGAGATTTCAGAGCAAGAGGAACTCACTTGCGTTTCTCGACGATTTCGATTGTGATCGCGAACCGTGCATTTTCTTGCTTTCAGTCGAATGCCCGTTTGAGAAAAAAGGAAGAAGCGTCCAGAGAGGAAAGGCCTTGAACTTGAATGCTAATACAGATCCCATGAGGGAAGCGACTTCGTGACTGCGAGTTGCCAAATGGGTCAGCAATTGCTCAATGTCCAAGGTATTTAATAGTGGGACTGTGATCAAGCCACGACTAATAGCATCTCTCAAGACGTTTTCAAAAGTTTTCTTTAGATCAAAATCATCAGAAATGCATACCCATATTCTGAAATCAAATTGTTCTTGGACTTTTTGGTCGTTGTGCACAAACTTAGTAAGCATGGTTTTGCCTAAACATCCCACCCAATTATGAGAGCACATGCAGTCTGAGCTGAGCTGGATCAGCACTCTCTCAACGACGCTAAAAAGGGGTCAAGTTGGCCATTTTCTTTTCTCGCCATTTAAATTACAGCAGGGCGTATCAAGAGATCTTTATGATCCGCAGACAATGAATGCTAATTGTCGTCTCGTATTTTGTAGAAGGTCATAATGGCTATATTAAAAATTGTTCCAACTAAAAGGATCGTTTTATTTTATAAGCAATGGACCAAGCATTAAGGTTTTAATATGGTGTGTCTCGACCATTGGTTCTTCTAGGACATATGACTTAATGGTTGTCTTTTTGTTTTCTCACTTTCCGGGTGAAAACCGGTTTCAGCTTCAAACGATACCGATTTGGCTAATTCTA